AAATGGTCCGAAATTCATGAAAAATGGTCCAAAATTTATGAAAAATGGTCCGAAATCCATGAAAAATGGTCCAAAATGAGTCGAATTATGCGAAAATTGGGCAAAAATGACCTAAAATTCATGAAAAATGGCTGAAAATTGCATTTTTAGCGTCAAAAATTGAGTCTAAAAGTGTCGGTCTGTGTGTCCAGATGTCCGGATTCGGCACTTATTGAGCGTTTTTGGGTCATTTTAAGCCATTTTCAATGATTTCTGTCATTTTATGCCTGTTTTGGTTGAAAATAAGCCTTTTTCATGGATTTCGGGTCATTTTCTGCCCAAATTTACCATTTTTGATCGATTTTGCCGGAAAAAAGCGCGATTTTTGGCTCCAAAATCACCAATTTCAGCCTAAAAATGACCGAATTTTTGCAGAAACTGTGTGGACAACATCTACGCACTGAACAGCGGCAATTGCCACGTCTGCAATCGTCTTCTGCGAAAAAACGGCTTTCGAGAGCAGATTTACGACGATCCGCTTATCGATAAGGAGACTTTTCTGAGAAGAAAGCTGCGAAAAATCTATAATCTCAAACAGGACGATTTTGAGACACTGAGAGAGTTTGGCGACTATCAGGAGAGGTAAAAATTGCTGGAAATGAGCTGAAAATAGCCTAAATTGGCTGAAAATTGGGCAAAAAATGGCCTAAAATGAGCTAGAATGGTACACAATTGGCTGAAAATGGTCCAAATTGTGATTTTGAGATGTTCTAAGCCAATTTTTCGAATTCCCTGCAAAATTTGGGTCCTGTCACTGAAAACTAGAAGTTTCTAGCTCAATTTGAGATTTTCGGGATTACTGTAGCTTGGAAAGTACGCAAACACCGAATTTTTGCGAAAATTGAGATTTTGAGCTTATTTTGCGAGTTTAGACTAATTTGACTGCGGGAAAAACGAATTTAGCACTAAAAACTGTCCTAGGACGTCTTTTTTCAAGTGTTTGCGGACTTTTTAGAACTACAGTAATCCTTGAAAAATCAAAATTGAGCTAGAAACTTGTAGTTTTCAATTTTTGGACCCAAATTTTGTGCAAAACACGAATCCAACGAGAAAACCCGAGTTATTTGCGTTTTAACCAATTTTATATTACTGTAGCTTCAAAAGTACGCAAACACCGAATTTTTGAAAAATTGAGATTTTTAGCTCATTTCGCGAGTTTAGACCAATATTGCTATGGGAAAAACGAATTTGGCGTTGAAAATTGGCTAAGACATCGTTCTTGGGGTTTTTACGGACTTTTTAGAACTACAGTAATCCTTTCAAAATCAAAATTGAGCTAGAAACGTCTAGTTTTCAATTGCTAGGCCTAAGTTTCGTGCGAAACACGAATCTAACGAGAAAATCCGAATTCATTGCGTTTTAATCGATTTTTGAAACCAATTTCGGGATTACTGTAGCTTGGAAAGTACGCAAACACCGAATTTTCAAGAACATTGAGATTTTGCGCTTATTTCGCGAGTTTAGACCAATTTGACTGTGGGAAAAACGAATTTGGCGGTAAAATTTGGCTAAAATGACATTTTCGTGGTGTTTGCGGACTTTTTGGAACTACAGTAACCCGGAAAACTTCAAAATTTGGCTGAAAATGGCTAGAAACAAACTGAAATACCCTAACTTTGCATAAAAATAATCTGAAAGGCTCTAGAATTGTCTGAAAATGACCTGAATTTGGCTGAAAAAGTCTGAAAATTATCGAAAAATGGTCAAAAATTGCCGAAAATAGGCTAAAAATGACTCTGGGAAGCTGGCTTGAAATGACTGAAACTAGCCCTAAAATTGCCCAAAAATGCTCAAAAACGGCTGAAAATGTCTAAAAATAACTGAAAATTGCAGATTCGAGACGCTCGTCTACAATTTGGTGTTCGAAACGGACGTCGTTGAGACGAACGCCGAGATTCAGGCGTTCGAGGAAAAGCACAAGGAGCAAATTGATCGAAATAAGAGAAGGTATGGAGTTTGGGCTGAAAATGCCTGAAAATGCCTGAAAATCGGCTTGAAACGATGGAAATTGCCCTCAAATGAGCCTAGAAATGCTGTAAAACAGGTCTCTACAGGCCTAAAAGCGCCTAAAATTGCCTAAAAAGTGACGAATTCTATGAAAACTTGCTGAAAATCCAAGAAAAATGGCTTAAACTGAGCCTAGAAGTGCCTAAAACAGACCCAAAAATGCCTGAAATCGACTTAAAATGGGCTTGAAAATCCTAAAATTTCATCAAAAATTGGCTAAAATGAGCCTGGAAATGCCTGAAATCAACGTAAAATGGCTTAAAATAGGCCTAAAACGGTCTAGAAATGCCTAAAATAAGCCTAAAAATCCGGAAATTTTACCGAAAATTACCCTAAAATGGCTTAAAGTAGGCCTAGAAATGCATAAAATAGACCAAAAAAGCTTTGAAATGAGCTTAAAAAGGCCTAAAAACAGCCTAAAATGCCTATTTTTCGATTTTCAGACTCGACGAGGACCAAAAATGGATCGAAGATCAGCTTCGTGAGGAGCGGGCCATGAAAAGCCGCTTGGTGGAGCATATGGAGACGGATGCGGTGAGTTTTTGAGCACTTTTTTAGCTGAAAATGACTGAAAAATCTGGAATTTTTGACCCAAAAATCGGAAAAATGACTGAAAATGGACCCAAAATCATTGAAAAATGAGCAATTTCGTCTTTTTTTTGCTGAAAAATCTGAAAATTTGACCCGGAATATTGATTTTTCGACGCTTTCTAGGTCATTTTAAGCCATTTTTCATGGATTTTAGGTCAATTTTCATGGATTCTCGGCCATTTTTCATTTATTTTGGACCATTTTTCATGGATTTTGGTCGATTTTGCATGGATTTTGGATCATTTTTCATGGATTTCGGACCATTTTTCATGGATTTTGGACCAATTTTCTTGGATTTTGAGCTATTCTGGACCATTTTTGACCATTTTCAGCCAGAATTTCCACAATTTAAAGAATCCTGGACGATCTGAACCAAATTTTTGACTCTAAAAAGCGATTTTCAGCCGATTTCAGTCACTTTTTGTCAATTTTAGAGCCGAAATCTCGAAATGTTGGGAAAAAAACCCCCAAAAAGTGGCTCTAAATGCCTCAAATTTGACTGAAAATGACGCAAAAATTGTCCAAATTTTTTTCTAAAAAGTAGAAATTTGGTGAAAAATGGCCTAAATTCCATTCGAAACGACTCTAATTAGGCTGAAAATCGTCTGAAAATGGCATTTTTTGCGTCAAAAATGGGCTCCGAACATGTTTTTGGGCGATTTTTGGGTCACTTTTTGGGCCAATTTTAGTGGATTTTAGGCCATTTTAAGCCTAGAAAAGCCATTTTTCAGCGCGAAAAGGAGAATACGACTGCCGTGACGGATACTCGAGCCATCATGGATGAGCTCCGGGATTCCAACGTGGCCGCCGAGGTGATTCTGGATCGTGAACGAAAGAAACAGATTGAGAAGGAGCTGGAGGAGAAGGATGAGCAAGAAAAGAGGAAAAGAAGGAATAAGGAAATGCTCCAGACGCGGAAACGGGCTGCGGAGAATATGTCGTTTAATACGGTCATTCGCATTGCTGGCAGGGCTTATGTTCATCAGGTTGGTGCTGAAAACGGCTGAAAAATCGATTTTTGGGGGGAAAATGGACCGAAACTCTTGAAAAACGGCTGAAAATGACCCTAGACGTCAAAATTAGCGAAAACGGTGCCCAAATTCGAATTTCCCGCGAAATTTGGGCCCGGGCACTGAAAACTAGAAGTTTCTAGCGTTATTTTGAATTTTTCGGGATTACTGTAGCTTGGAAAGTACGCAAACACCGAATTTTCACGAAAATTGAGATTTTGAGCTTATCTCGCGAGTTTAGACTAATTTGGCAATGGGAAAAATGAATTTGGCATTAAAAACTAATCTAAAGGTCGTCTTGGCCGTGTTTGCGGACTTTTGGGAAGCTACAGTAGTCCGAAAAAAAATCAAAATTGCCCTAAAAACTTGTAGTTTTCGGTTTTCGACTAATTTGGCTATGGAAATTACATTTTTCCACAATATTCCTGATTTTCAGCCACTGGAACTCGTCATCAACGGACCGCCAATGCCAAATTCGGCTGAAATCGAATCGATGGGCTATTTGGCACATATTCGTGCCGCTTCTCAGGTAATTTAGAGGCGGACTTTTGGCTGAAAATCGCACTTTTAAGGATTAAAATGAGCCAAAAATAGCGCTGAAAATGATGAATTTTCATCTAAAAATGCTCTAAAATTGGTTATAATGACTCGAAAACGGTCGGGAAAGCTCCAAATTTGAATTTTTGGACTTAATTACGCTCTAATTACCCCTTTGTCCTAATTACAGGACCTCATCGCTGGCGGCTATACATCTGCGCTCGGCTGCTCTCGTGCCCTCTTCGAGGCACGCATCGATTTGTTCGCCTTCTAATTGGACCGATTTGGATGATTCTCTCTATTGATTTTTTTCCCTCCCTCTTTTTTTGTCTTTTTTAGGTCATTTTCTGTCAATTTTGACCCGTTTTTCCGGTTTTTCGAGTGCTTTTTGACCCAAAAATCATTATTTTTGACCTGAAAATCGACATTTTCTGCGATTTTTGACCCAAAAATTGTAGTTTTTGGACTTTTTCGAGTCAAAAATCGTCATTTTTGCTCCATTTTTGCTCCATTTTTCTGGTTTTTGATGATTTTTTGAGTTCAAAATCGTCTCATTTCCAAGATTGTTGACTTGGCAATTGTGATTTTAAGCCCATTTCGACTCGAAAATGCTCGTTTTTGGTGATATTTCTGTGAATTTGCGCCCAAAAATGGTCTAATTTGCCCTCATTTTTCTCATTTTCTGAGGATTTTTTGAAGTTTTTTTGGCTCAAAAATCTTGATTTTTTGCCTTTTTTGACCCCAAAATTCCCATATTTTTCTTTTTTTTTTCGATTATTTTCTCTAGTTTTACTGGTAATTTATCTAGGTTTTTCATCGATTTTTCGCTATTTTTTGGCCATTTTTCTATGATTTTTGACGCCAATTTTCTCAATTTCAATCCATTTTTTTGGGCGATTTTGAAGCTGAAAATCGCCGATTTTCAGCGATTTTTCACTCGAAATTTGGCACTTTTTATTGTAAATTTTCCCCAGAAATATACACATTTTTCTGTGATTTTTTTTGCTTTTTTCAGCAGATTTTTAGGTTTTTACTATCCTATCGATTCGATATGTATTTTTCAGCATTTTTTCCCCGATTTTTTGAATTTCCCGCCGCCCATTTTTTGGCCATTTTCAGCATTTTTCAGCACAACAAAAAATATGGACTCGATAGACACTGTGTGTCGAGCCATCGACGCATTCTATAGTGGTGGACCGGAGACGCAGCTGGCACAGAAATTCTTGCAGAATTTCCAGGAAACGGTAAGCGAATTGGGGCCTTAAAATGACTCGAAAATCGTGAAAAACGGCTTAAAATAAGCCAAAATAGGCCTGAAATCGGGTAAGAAATGGCCCAAAAATGAGCTAAAATAGCCTGTAAATCGCCCAAAAATCGTCAAATCCGGACACTCGGACACACAGACCGACGTTTTTAGGCCCAACTTTTGACGCTAAAAATGCCATTTTTCAGCCATTTTTCATGGATTTTAGGTCATTTTAGCTCATTTTCCGCCTATTTCGGCTCATTTTGGACCATTTTTCATGGATTTTAAGCCATTTTTCATGGATTTCGGACCA